GCGTCCGAAAGAGAACAAGTAGTATCCTAGGATATTTTTTCTGTTAGGAAAATGCGTGAATGAAAAAATAAAAACAGAAAAAAAAATGAGAGACAAGCCTCCAAAAAAGGGTGATTGTGATGCCTGAAAATCAATAGACAGCTATTAGGAAAATTAATGAAAAACTGGAAAAAGATTTGTGTGTGTGAAGCATTTTCGTCCTTTAAGGCAGCACCGGGCTAAAGCAATGTTTTTATTGATGGAATTATATATGCCTAGGAAGGAGAGGGGGGATATAAAAACGCAAACGTTGATTGAAATTATGCATAACGAAAGGAGACACTGAAAATGTCGGGGAATGTTGAAATTTTAAAATATTTCTTAATTTATTTAGTATTTCAATAGATGTGTCTGCGTATATAGGCAATCAAGTTTCATTCAGTAAATACATCTATATATATATATATATATATTTCTAGGTTACAACAAACAGATAGATAGATAGATAGATAGATAGATAGATAGATAGATAGATAGATAGATAGATAGATATGAACAGACATTGGTAGATAGTTCTATATACCGTACTTATGAACACTAATGTGTATGTCCAAATCCAGATAAATACGTTGGACACTATTGTAACTGGAGGTAATATACTGTGTGAGTAGTCCACCACTAGCTGTGGTTTACCTACGTCACGCCGCTGGCGAGTATTGTATTTTGTTGATGTTATAAAGATTACCATTTCATTTACAACCTCCGTTTTGGTTATTCATCATTCAGTAATCTTACCTAGGTTAAAACAGTTTGTACATATATATAATTTCTTGTTGTTTTTTCATACTATGTTTTAAATATATATATATATATATATGTATCCTGGCTATTCGAAGTTAAGTGATTTAAAATCCAATACACACACACATAGAAATATGTGTGTATGTGTGTGTGTGTTTCTTAGGAAATAATGGATTTTATTTTTAATCCAACATCTTTTATCACTGCTAACGACTATCCACTAAAATAACTTTTGAATAAATAAAAATACATATATATATATATATATATATATATCGTTATATATATATATATATATATATATATATATATATATATATATATATATATATATATATATATATATCCTGGCTATTCGAAGTTGAGTGATTTAAAATCCAGTACACACACATTTAAAAATATGTGTGTGTGTTTTAGAATTAATGGATTTTATTTTTAATCCAACATCTTTTATCATTGCAAACGGCTATCCACTAAAATAACTTTCAATAATAATACATACATACATACATACATATATATATATATATATATATATTAGGTATAAATGATATATATATATATATATATATATATATATATATATATATATATATATATATATATATATCCCATATTCGAAGTTGATTGATTTAAAATCAAATACACACACACACACACCTAAGTGTGTGTCTTAAGAAATAATGCATTTTTATTTGTAATCCATCTTTTATCCCTGTAAACGACTATCCACTAAAATAACTTTGAAGTAATGATAATAATACATACATACATATATATACATATATATATATATATATATATATATATATATATATATATATATGTGTGTGTGTGTGATTATTCTTCGCTGTTTTCTTTGACGTCTTTGCAATGTCAACCAACTAACTCTTTCTGACTATGACTGAATGCAATTATTAAGTTAACTTCTTTTTCTTCTTTTCAATTAGCAAAGATTACGAAGCTGCAGAACCAAAAGCCTTATCGAATTTGGATTCTAATTCAAATTGAATAATGTTTAATGTCATTTGAAATATGTACGTCCGTAGGTGTGGCCATGAATAGGATAATTGAACCAGTGCATCCATATCATTGGGTACGCACACGTCTGTCTGTGTCTGTCTGTCTGTCTGTCTCTCTCTCTCTCTCTCTCTCTCTCTCTCTCTCTCTATATATATATATATATATATATATATATATATATATATATATATATATATAAGTGCGCAGGTATGCAGAAAATAGAAAAGAACACGTTGTGTGCATAATCCGGAGTTCCTTAATATTTTTGTTTTTTTATTTTTAAGAAGACAGTGCTCCATACAGAAGTAGAGCTTTATTATAATAATATTTTTTGTTTAAAAATATGATTCCTTCGCTACATAAGAGTTCTCATGTTTCAAAAACGAGAGCCGAAACCATCCAAATAATTATTAAAATTAAGTTGAATTTAGGTGTTTAGTCCAGTTTCATCTTCAAGCGAAATTTAGGAATAAGCTATCTCTTGGTTTACGTGTGTTTTTAGGCATGGTCCGTTACAAAATTCGTTATTGTAGGAGTGGCTAGACTATTTTTCTTCGTTAAGTGGTCAGAGAGTTAATTCTTATCAACAGATTCATCATCTTCTAAGAGGTTTTGCTAAGGTTGGGTAGGGTATCTATTTCAAGGCTAATGTTTGCGGTCACCCTTTAGTTAGTTCCCAGTGAGGGATATTTTTATGGCACGCCTACAATCGTTATGTGTCTGGGGAATTGTCTTTTATTATTGTCCATCTGATTATCTATTTATTTATTTGTTTATTCAAGTGGCTGTTTTATATACAGATCGTATTGCACTGAATTTCAATTTGTTTTTTTTTGTTTTTGACGACTACAAAATGGGTTTTCCTATTTAATGATTTGGCTAAGCTTTTAAGAATTATATATATATATATATATATATATATATATATATATATATATATATATATATATATATATATATATATATAATTTTATATATTATATATATTTTACATATTGGAAAATATGAGCGATAGAGCCAACATATTTAGTTGCGTTGATGTGAGTTTATGACCCTGAGTTTCACGCTCTCTGCAATCGTCAGACAAATTGATTTTTTTTTTAAATTTTGGATTCATTTGTGTTTACTTATATCTGTGTTTTATGGTAGTGTGAGAAAAATTGTTGTCAGAACGCCACTCATACGTACTCAGACATACATACATAAATACATACATACACACACACACACACACACACACATATATATATATATATATATATATATATATATATATATATATAAAAAAAAAGAACTAATGTATTTTTGTATTACTACGAAATATTTCTTTATCACGTTAAACGTTAATTTTTAGTGAATACCCATATTTGAGCAGAGGTTCCGTTTAATTTTAAATAATTTACCATTTTTTTGTCAAGAATGTTCAACAACTCTTACTAAAGAAAGAGATACGCCATTTGGCAGGAATCGAACCTGTGTCCACTTTTGCAAAAGAGATCGTTGTCAGATCCCACATGCTTTAAAATATTTCTGTGGTCGATCGGTCCAAGGGACGCCCTGGTCAGACAATAAGTTTCTACAAAAGATGACGCTGGTTTGAAGACGCGGTATGCATTTCAAAAGCTAGCACACGCGGAGATCGCTCCCAACATCAAAAAGTCACATGCCTGATTGACCATGGCGAGATTCGAACCCTGACATTCTAACCCCCCCCCACCCCCGGGCGATACGCCTGTATATGTTTACGTTGCTGGAAACTACAGAGAACATGCAACCATTTAGCTAATTGATATGTTTTTTTTCTTTTTTTTTAATATTGATTCAGATATCTTTTTTTTAATCTTTCATATACGACTATCTTTCTTGTTTTCTTTTCTTCTTCATTGAAAACTATATCTATATATATATATTTTTTGTCCATTTTTTTTTACGTGACTGCAGGATTTTCTGGCCGCTTAGCTCATCTGTATTCCCATTCCTTACGTTACGAACTAATTGAGAGCAGTGAAATCAAGCCTCGTTTTGAATCCCTTGCATCATTCCCTTTTTGCACGAGACTTTGATGTCTCGTATTGAAGTGGCTTAGGGAGCTGGGAGTTTCGTGGTTTCTGTTTTCGGTATCATTAATCATTATAATTATTTTTATTTTTTCATTTTTTTTATATTTTATTTTTATATTTTATTTATTTATTTATTTTTTAGTTTTACAGACATTCGTCTATTTTTATCTTTCTGGGATTTTGTTTGTCGGCTTTTCGTTCTCCTTCGGATCTTCTGCCATATTTTAATCTCTTTTCTGTTTATACCATTTTCCCTTTTGTTGCGCCGCCATTTTTATTCTACATCATTCGGAATGTAAATTTCTTTTTTGAAATTATCAACACGCCTTCTCTGTTTGTTTTCTTTTTTTCTAATCGTAAACCTTTCACAGAATAATAATTATTTTACTCTTTTCATATTTCTGTTTTTTAAAAAAAATTATTCTTCGGTCAATTGTAAATTCTTTTTTCGCAATATTTTTGCTTCTTTCTTTTTATGGATTTTATGCTTTTTATTATTTTTTTTTCTCTCTTTCATTCATCGATTTTCGATTTGCTTCTTTACCATTTTTCCTTTCCTTTCTTTCTTCCAATATTTTTTCCCCTTTTTGCTTGGTCTTTCGTTCTTTTTTCGTTCATTTATACACTGACACATTTTCAATCATCCGATTAACGATGCCAACACAGATTTTATTGGTAATACGAATACTAACAGATGTACTACAAGTACTATGACAGATACTGTTACATTTTAATGGGAGTACACCGAAAATAATTGCTATCTATCTATCTATCTATCTATTTTCGTATTTTTATCTATCTCTTCAACAATGTTAGTTCTTATGCATATATGTATGCTTGTTTGTATCTAACTATCATGCCTTTTTAATCTGTTTTTTGAACACACCCATATTTTTTCTATCTATCTATCTATCTATCTATCTATCTATCTATCTATCTATCTATCTATCTATCTATCTATCTATCCCAGTCTGTACGTATGTCTCTCTCTCTCTCTCTCTCTCTATCTATCTATCTATCTATCTATCTATCTATTTTCGTATCTTTATCACTTGAACAATGTTAGTTCTTATGCATTCATGTATGTAAATATCTATGTACGTATCTATCTTTTATGCCATTTTAATCTATCTATTTATGAACACACCTACATCTATCTATCTATCTATCTATCTATCTATCTATCTATCTATCTATCTATCTATGTCAGTCTGTTCATATCGATCTATCTATCTATCTGTTCATATCCATCTATCTATCTTCTATCTATCTCTGTCATCTATCTATCTATCTATCTATCTATGTCAGTCTGTTCATATCTATCTATCTATCTATGTTAATCTGTTCATATCTATCTATCTATCTATCTATCTATCTATCTATCTATCTATGTCAGTCTGTTCATATCTATCTATGTCAGTCTGTTCATATCTATCTATCCTATCTATCTATATATCTATCTATCTGTCTATGTCAGTCTGTTAATATCTATCTATCTATCTATCTATCTATCTATCTATCTATCTATCTATCTATCTATCTATGTCAGTTTGTTCATATCTATCTATATTATTTTTATCTATCTCCTCAACAATGCTACTTTTTATGCATGCATATATCTATCCATGTCTTTTTTCATCGAGCTAACTACATATCTATGTATCTATCTATCTGTCTGTCTGCACATAGCTATATTTCTGTATATATCTATATATCTGTCTGTTAGTTCATGTCTCTACCTATCTAAAAATGATTCTGTTTAAATCTATCTATCTATCTATCTATCTATCTATCTATCTATCTATCTATCTATCTATCTATCTATCTATCTATCCCAGTCTGTTCATTATCTATCTATCTATCTATCTATCTATCTATCTCACTCTATTCATATAATAATGTTACAGATTTCGCAACAACTATTCATAATACGCCATCGACAATTGCAACCATTCCGACTACAATGTCAAAGACTTCCCTTTCCTCAGATCCATTTGTTCGTTTTTCCTTTCGCGTACACACACCCGATTCATTACTTAATGTGGCAATCTATTCTAAAGATTATTCCCTGACATTGTAAAGAAATGCATTTTTATTAATTCTATCTTTTATTTTGAAAGTGAATGCATGGAAAGAATCTTCCGAGATTCAAATTTTCTCTTTTTTTTCTCCGCCCCCCGCGTATTTCGATTTCCTTTTGGAGTTTTGATTTGACATGAACGCGGCTATACCTCGAGACGATTTCAATGTGGAAATAGTAACAATGAAGTCGCGTAGTGTAGTAAGACTTAAGATCAAATGTGTCAGTGTCTCTATCTATCTATCTAAGCCTGTTCATATCTATCTATCTATCTATCTATCTATCTATCTATCTATCTATCTATCTATCTATCTGACTCTGTTTATTATCTGTCTATCTATCTATCTATCTATCTATCTATCTATCTATCTATTTGAATATGTTCATTATCTATCTCTATGTCAATGTCTGTAGGTCTGTCAATATCTATTTGAATCTATACATATCTATCACATGAATGATGTTAATATCTATCTAATATCTATCTATTTTAGTCTATTCCTATCTATCTATATCACTTGTAATCTTCCTTGCTAGCAAACTATCGTAGTCTCGATGAATGCAGTGGCATTAATGTATTTTATATAAACGCAATTTGTTGGACTTAATTTAAAATTCAACAATCCGTATGTTGGTACAGAAAAGTGGTCAAAATTCTTGGCCCAACAAAGAAGTTCCCGCCCTCTTCCTTAAATTCTCATTCGGATTAGGTCACTTGTATGAATTAGTTTTCAGCTTCCCTCACACACACACACACACACACACACACACACACACACACACACACACACACATATACTCTCTCTCTCCACACACACACACACACACACACACACATATATATATATATATATATAAAGTATAGGATTGGTGTTTACGGAATAAATTCCAATAACCAACAATTACTATTCTTAAAAGAGTGCTCAATACAGAGTAGAGCGAATATAATTATTTATTTAAAAATTATAACATATTTATGTTATAATTTTTAAATAAATAATTGTATATATATATATATATATATATATATATATATATATATATATATATATATATATATATTTTTTTCTCCGGAAAAAGTTAAACCAGAACCCAAATTTATCCGAAGATATCTGGCAAATAAGGAAAACACCATTAGCCTCAACAATAAATCCCCCAAATCTGTCAACTCTGAAGAGAAAAGAACTATAATCCCCATCCAAGACCAACACAAATTATGAAATAAATGATCAGAAAGTCTCAAATTGCAGATACGAAAATAAATTTTTACTCTGTTATTTAAAAGTCGAAACTAACACGAATATCTGTCTCTATTTCTGCGATGAGGTACTGTAACTATTTCCGCCATTTACATTGTTCGGACAGATGTCCTCATATTTATTGCCTATAATCATGACGTTTCAGCCATTGTACGCTACAACATTCGTCAGGATATGTCTATATTTCTAAGATGAGGTATTGTAATCATTTATCCTATTTACATTTTTCGGGCTGTTGTCCGAATGTTTATTGTCATATTCACGACGTTTCGGCCGTTGTACGCTCCGGCCATCTCCAGGATCTGTTTATATTTCTAAGATGAGGTATGTTAACTATTTACATTGTTCGGACTGTTGTCCTCATCTTTATTGTCATATTCACGTTGTTTCGGCCGTTGTATGCCCCGGGCTTCTTCAGGAGCCATCTATGTTTCTGGGATGAGGTATTTTAACTATTTACACTATTTACATCGTTCGAAATGTTATCATCATCTTTATTATCATATTCACGCAGTTTCGGTCCTTGTACGCCACGGCCTTCTTCAGAATCTGTCTATATTTCTGAAATGATGTATTTTAATTATTTACACTATTTACATTGTTTGGACTGTTTTCCTCATCTTTATTGTTATAGTCACATCGTTTCGGCTCTTGTACGCCCCGGCATTCTTCAGGATCTGTCTATGTTTCTGAGATGAGGTATTGTGACTATTTACATTATTTACATTATTCGTACACTTATTCTCATCTTCATTGCCATATTCACAAAGTTTCGGCCGCTATATGCTCCGGTCTTCTTCAGTTGAATGGAATTTCCTACCGAACCCTTTATTTCGTCCACCCGGGTAGATTGCTCTAATTCCCCGTTCAATGCCTCTTCTCAGTTATTTCTCTTTAACTCCACTCTCCAAGTCGTTTTTCGTTCACCACTGCTGCGGCTTGGTATTGAAATCACAACTCTTTGGGTCGAGTAAATGGATCTAACCAGCATCTTTATCCACTGGGCCATGTGTCCTTGAGGGACATCCAGAAGGGGTATGACATGTGGAACTAGAACAATCTACCCGGTGGACGAAATAAAGTTTTTGGTTCGAAATTCCAATCACCTGAAGAAGGCCAGAGCGTACCACGGTCGAAACGTTGTGAAAATGGCAATGAAGATGAGTATAACAGTCCGAATAATGTAAGTAATCATAATACCTCATCTCAGAGATATAGGCAAAATATATGCTCCTTAGAATATAAATCAGTACTAATTGATATGGGTAAGGGTTGCTTCTTGTTTGTTTTAAGATACGGTGGAGTAATGGATAGCGGTTCGGATTGGGGAATCGGAGAGCCGAGTTCGAATTCCAATCCAATCCATTACATTAACTTACGTTCTATAGCATTGGATGGCAACTGGTCGACGAAATGGCAACCTACTACGGTAACAAATCTTCCTTGTCAGTCATGTATCGAAAGATACATGATCGCTTACGCGCGTATCACGCATGAGACATAACTGACTGACTGTTGTGCTAGTACCCTTGGGAAAGGTATGAATCCTCTTCTTCTCCCCCCCCACAGCTATGGGTAAATAGCAAGACAGACTGGTTTCTGTAGCCTTGGATACCAACTGGTCTAGCATAGAAAGAAATGTCAACCTACTGTGGGAAAAAAAAAATCTGCCTCGTCACTCATATATCGAAAGGTACATGATCGCTTAGGTGTGTATCACGCATGACGTGACTGACATCATGTGTTAACGCTTTTTGCGGTGGGAGTTACGTGTCATATTCCCGTTCTTGACAAATGTACATTATCAGTTTCTTCAGTGAAACATGTATAAAAGAGTGGTTACTGCTCAAATTCACAATTCAGAAACAGTGGAAATTTCGATTTTAGGTATCATTAGTATCATGATTTTGGGGACTACATTGTATGGAAAATATTAAGGTACACTATTGTCAGAATTTGTACTGACTGACACCAAATATGACGTGCATAGCAAGGAAAGCGTACTCCTCCTCCTCAGATAAAATTTCGACGTAATGAAACAGGTCAAAGACCTGTGAAATATCGAAGGGTACATTGGTAGTAATGAAAGACAACAAAGACGAGGAAATTAAATACGATATGTATCTCTTACAAAAATACTTCCGAGAAATGTAAAAAAAAAAAAAAAAAAAAAAAAAAATGAATTATTGTCGCGATGGAATTCTTTACTCAAATTTCGTGTTTCATTTTGGATTGGGTACGGTGACTGTCATTTCTGTAAGATGCTTGCAGCTTTATCTGCGCCATTACAAATGGACTGATGTTAAAAACGCATTCTTTATACCAATCAGTATTGAATCAAAGTTAATGGCATAAAATTATATAGAAATTTAGCGACAAAAAAAAACATCAAATCTGAAAAAAAAAGTTACGCGGTAAAATACATTAAATCAACGAGAAGAAAAGAATGAAAGATAAAGAAGACATTTGATTTAAAATTATAAAATTATTGCAGTCAAAATGGCGTCGGTCGACATTCAACCCGCCATCAAGATGTTAGTAGACGCGTTAAAAATGAGTTTAAGCATGAGTTCTGTATTGGAGAAGAATGAGTTTAAATTGGGCGGGAAAATCTAAAATGCGCGTTAAAAGCTGTCGTTTGCTTGTAGGCTTATTTCAATTCGTTTAGTTTTAAGTAATTTATTTTTTATGGCTCCTACTACGCAACATATAGAAAATCGGAGCGTTCACCTACACTTAACTTCTTGTCATCCCTTGAAGAAGAACGTTAAGCAATGCCCTTTAAGTCCATTGCAATCGGGTGACTCTTAGGGAAACCGAGACTGTGTAAAATAACTTTTCCGTTGGTGTATTTAAATATATGCAAAAAGTCTAGGGACCACACACACACACACACACACACACACATATATATATATATATATATATATGAATATGTATATATATATATATATATAGTCTCTCACTAATGTCAAGTTTCGATCCCGGCTTCAAGCAATCAGATGTCTAGCCACACTGATGAGCTGAGATTCAGCGAACCTGTCTGTGACTGACTATATATATATATATATATATATATATATATATATATATATATGTGTGTGTGTGTGTATATATATATATATATATATATATATATATATATATATATATATATATATATATATATATATATATATATATATATATATATATATATATAGTCTCACTAATGTCAAGTTTCGATCCCGGCTTCAAGCAATCGGATGTCTAGCCACACTGATTAGCTGTGATTCAGCGAACCTGTCTGCGACTGACTATATATATATATATATATATATATATATATATATATGAAATTAAAATCGATAAAAATTCAACAATCTTAAAATTCTATATTAAGGCGACATCAACGACGAGGTCGTGTTGGAAAGTTCTCGGCCGGACAGACAAAAATTCTACCCCCCACCCCCAAAAAAAAACCCTGCTTTCTTATTTCATAGGATTTCTGAAATTGCGTTTTGACCGAGAACTTTTCATTACACCCTCGTAGGAAGCGAAAATCGGATTATATATATTATATACAAGGCAGTAAAGCCACTAAGACACAAAGGGTTACAGACTGTGGAGGAATTAGGAACAGAATCATTAATAATGAGCGGGAAGAGGAAAGAGTAATCAAGAGGAAAGTAGATAGCGATTGACATTGTATTTAAATTTTCGCCGATTAAAGTTGGCTGGAAAGCATGGAGCCGGAAGGGAGGTCCACAAGCGAGAACTTATGGCTCCATCTAGCCAGCTCAATTGTAAATTGATGAGATCTCGATGCCAGTCTAGCACTGAGCTTAAATTCAAAGAGTCTACGTACCATAGCGAATAGCTAAACCGAACAATTACCATGAAAGTATTTATAAAACCGACACAGACAACCTTACAGAGGTGAGAATGTGACTTAAGCCGAGACGCCAGATCAGGACCAATAATATTGCTGATTTTTCTTTGGATTTTATCAAAGTAAAAAAACAGGGGCACCGGACCATATATAGCGGGAATATTCTAAGCCTGGACGAATGGTAGACCTATAGATATGTAAGATAGATTCTGGAGAGAAATGGGCACCTCGAAGCGATGCAATGGTTAGCAATCTTGTCTCGCTAGAATATTTCCGACTGAATAGTGAGATCGATCCTCACTGGGTGCCCCATACTTTCGGCCTTGTGCCACATCTAACCTATACTTGGAAAATTACTAGATTCTGGAGAGAAAAATTGTCTCGCACGACACAGTGAACCAAATTTCTTAGCTGCTGACCTAGCAATGGAGTCAATAGACTTTTCCCACTTCATGGCTGAGGACACTAGCCCGAGAAGTCGCAACGAGTCATTTTTTATGTGGTTAGCATCAGCCATACTGATAAACGGCAAAGGGGGCTCTTTCAGACGATTAATGGAGAGAAGTGTAGTTTTGGAGTGGTTAAAATTAACAAGACATCTTTTGCCCCAGTTTCTTAACAGTTGACCTAGCAATGGATTCAATATAGACTTTCCAGTTTATGTCAGCTGAGAATATATAAATAAATTATATATAAAACTATATTAGATTGATAGCTAACTAGCTAGACAAATCTATTGTCGTCAAACTGCTGGAGAGTGAGGAAATTGAAGGGAGCTTCATATATTAGTAGAGCGGACAAAAGAAAAGAGGCATTTTACTTCGAAGGAGACAATAAAAATTCAGGAGTCAGGCTATTTTTATATCGAAATGATTTTCTTTCATTTAGATTATAATGACTTACATTAGACCCTTAAACCGATTATAATATTTTTTAATAATTTCACCCCAAGCAAAGCGTTACTAGGAGTGAAAGAGGGAGAAGACTTTATTAAGGCGAAAGAAAAAAAAAACAGATTTCAGCATGACAAAAGATGGTGATCGGCATTGCATTTAAATTTTTGAACATTGTTGCTAGCGGTGAAGCAATAAACCAGAAGTGAGTTCTACAGGTAAGAAGTGAGAAAAAAGAATCTATTAGAATATAACTTAAGGTTACGCTAGTTTAACGGTAAAGCAGTGGGACCTAATAGCCAATCTAGTAGTAAGCTTAAATTCATGCAATCAAGGCACCAAGGAGTAAAACTAACGAGAATAAATGTCTTAACAATATTCATGGAAAATACAGAGGGAAGCCGCGTCAAGGCGGTGTGAAAGTGACTGAAGTCCAAGTTTCAAGTCAGGGTCGATTGCATCACATACCCTTTTTGAATTTTGTCAAGAATCTCACGATATATAGTAGGTGAATCAGACCAGATATGGCAGCAATCTTCGATGCATGGACAAATGATAGATTTATAAATGGGCAAGATAGATTCTGATGAGAAAAATGTTCTGGCACGGCACTGAAAATTAACTTTCTTAGCAGTAGACCTAGAAATTCATGTCAGTGGAAAAACATTACCCCAACAAGGGGTAAATATTTGCTCTCCTGGAGGTTAGCACAAGCCAGGTTGATGGAAAGCAGAAATGGTTCTCTATGGTGATTAAATGAAGTCAGTTTTGTTCAGATTTATAAGCCACTAGCAGTAGAGCCCGGCGTTGTCCGGGAATATAACAGTAAGAGATAGATCAAGTATCCACCATCATAAAGACTGAAAAATAAAATTGACAAAGATTATTGTTTAAGGTTGACGGACACGCATGTCTTAATTAGTTTTTTTTTTTTTTTTTACGAATTGGTCAAACCCAAACTCAAACAAAAACATTGTTTTCAATCGTTATGAGTCTACCGATTGAATAGAATTTTATTATAAACAATTGTCTTGTAAATGGAATTTTAAAGCATTCTGAATATTAAAAATAAAGAAAAAAAGTGCAAGACAATAAGAAACACTACTTGTCAAAAAAAAAAAATGAAGTTTTGTTGAAATCGGTTGAAAAATGTGAGGTAGCCTTTCTGTAATCTTTTAGTTTAACAATTTATGATTTTTACTTATTGAATACGTTAAAAAAAATTGGACACCATGTGTATTTAAACTAAAGTAGTTTCCGGTTATTATTTTTAGTTAGGAGGACTTGTGTATGTTTAGATTTCATTATCTTTCCCTAAAGATAAAGAATTATCCGATGTTTGGATTCAGTAGAGATCGTTAGATTATTGTTTAAGGTTGACGGACACGCATGTCTTAATTAGTTTTTTTTTTTTTTTATGAATTGGTCAAACCCAAACTCAAACAAAAACGTTGTTTTCAATCGTTATGAGTCTCCGTATTGAATAGAATTTTATTATAAACAATTGTCTTGTAAATGGAATTTTTAAAGCATTCTGAATATTAAAAATAAAGAAAAAAAAGTGTGCAAGAGAATAAGAAACACTACCTGCCAAAAGAAAAAAGAGAATTTTCGTTTTATCGGCTGAAAAATGTAGGAAATCCGATCCCATATTTAAAGGAACCCACACACACAAACAACCCGATGTGAGTTGTCCCCTTTCATTCTCACGATGTCTCTTAATCGTGTTTTGAAATTGATTTTGTGCAAAACAATTGTGTTTTTCCCATTTTTGGCGCTGTTAGAACCACCACAAGTAATTTTATGTAGTCCTGTGAAGTTTTGTTGAAATCGGTTGAAAAATGTAGGAAATCCGATGCAATATATAAACGAACACACACACACACACACACACACACACACACACACACACACACAATCTGCGTTTTGTATTAAGTAAGATTCCGTGTTCCACTTAACCACAAACTGGAGCTCAAGCCGCCAGTTTTATTTCGTCGGACCTGTAAGACTTGCTGCCAAGATAGAGAGAAATCATCGTGTCATCAGTATCGATAAGTATTTCGGAACTGATGACATTGAAAAGGACGATGACGAAGGTGAGATAATATCGTAGGAACCAGGATAGGAGACAGGATAGAGCCCATGGACACTCCCGCAATGATATGAAACGATCTAGAACTGTGACTGTCCAACATGATATTCATTACACCTTTTCGTAAGAAAGTTTGGAGAAAGATATATAATATTCGTCCAGAGGCACAATAGCCTTTGATCTCATAGAAAAGGCTGTCATGACAAAAACTGTCGAAAGCCTTCGAGATATCTAAAGCCACAACCTGAGCCTTGCCGTAGAGAGATATATTACATTCTATTTTCGGTATGTCTACCATTATTTTTCCTTACTCTATTTAATGGACTCAACTCATATTCCCTGAGGATAGATGCGCACAAACTGACATAGATAGATAGATAGATAGATAGATAGACATAGACATAGATAAAACAGAACAGACTAAGATAGATAATGACAGGTAGAAGCAGTCAGAGACGGATGAAAAGAGTGGGAGATAGATATATGGGTGGATAGTGAAGAGACTAAGATAGATAGATAGATAGATAGATAGATAGATATGAGTAGTTTGCGATAGATATACAGAGAGAGATAGAGAGATATGAAGATCCTGAGATAGAGTATGGACAGGATTATATAAACTGAGATAGTGATATATATATATATATATATATATATATATATATATATATATATATATGTGTGTGTGTGCGTGTGTGTGTATATATATATATATATATATATATATATATATATATATATATATAGATAGATAGATAGATAGATAGATAGATATGAATAGATTGAGATAGATATGAGCAGAGAGAAAGAGAGATTAACAGAAAGCGAGAGAGAGAGAGATGAAAATCCTGAGATAGTTATAACAGGTGAGACTGACTTGATGAAACTGAGATAGATACGAAAAAATTGATATATATATATATATATATATATATATATATATATATATATATATATATATATATATAATATTCAACACTATTACTTGATACAACAGCAGAAGTGTTGAAACAAAATGGCTAGTGATTTTATAACATATTTATTTCATAATTTTCGAATAAATTACATATATCTATATATACGTGTGTGTGTGTGTGTGTGTATTTATAAGCGTGTTTCGTTGTATCACAGTTCACCAGTGTGGCTAGACCTCCGATTGCTTCGACCGATTTGGCATCAGTCAGAGCCTCTACCCCTAAGCTATCGGCGCGCAGCAGAGAAATGGAATCTTTTAACCTCCTATATATGTGATGTATATAAGCGTCAAATCAGCAGGAAATTCATTTCATGAACTGTGCGTTATAAACAAGAGCTGCGACTGTTAAAAATTCCCTTTCCCCATAGAGCTCAATGGGTGAACGATTAGAACTTTGTGAATAACTATATATATATATATATATATATATATATATATATATATATATATATACATTACAACTTTGTGAATAACTATATATACATATATATATATATATATATATATATATATATATATATATATATATATAAACTATATATATATATATATATATATATATATATATATATATAAACTAGGTAATCCGCATGGGTAGACCCAAGGAGGATATTATCCGGAGAGCTCAATGTAAAATTCAGAGCCGATATGTTTGAATAAAAACAGACCACTTTATGGATCCATGTAATATGTCATTTCAACACAACCCCATTTAACAGGGCTCTGGATCATCAGACTTTACTTCCAAGGGTTGAAAGGAAAAATGAAAAGAAATTCAAACGTTTTTGACGGACCGCATCAAGCATAT